TCAAATAAATAAATAAAATCTTTAAAAAAAAAAAAAAAGAAAGAAAGAAAGAAAATGGGTTGACCAACTGCCCACCTTTATGCTCCAGAATGGATTTCCTGAAGGGAACACAGAAAAATCCATAGGGCAACTTTATTCTCCCATCTGTGATCAGGATTTATTCTACAGCTCTTGGGTAGGTAAAAATCAGTTTTACATTTAAGAATACCTGAATCTGATCTGTGCTCTTAGAAGTTAAATGTCATTTTTCAAAGTCAATCCCACCAAGTAATGTTGTGGTATAAACAACGTTGAGGGCAATATAGGTCATTCTTGATCTCTGCCAAAGGTTTATCCACAGCGTAGATTTCTTCAAGCAAACCGTGATCCAAAGCTTGGTAAAATAACCAACAATACTGCTTAAGTCACATGTGGTCAACAGTCTGTCTACTTAATCTAACACTCAGACTCAGTGCCTTCAAGGCAAAATAATTATTTGTCTATCACCTGGCAAAGATAAACACTCAAGGAAAATGGGCATCTCTTTTTACACTGGTGTGTTATTTCCTCCTGAGTTAATACTTCCTCTCATATGAGGGATAAATTCTGCAAGGAGGAAAGGAAAAAGAGCTATAAAGCAATCTTATAATGAAGCTGCATTATTCTACCTAAGTAGTATCTACATTATAGCCCATTACATGGCTCAAAAATAGTATGGGTCAAAGGATATTTCCCCAAATATAACTAAATACTCTAAGAACATGATACAACAGAGTTATAAACCATAACTCCTGTTCCCCAAAATCACTGTTATATATGGGGTGACACCGAATTAGAGTTCCCCAAAATATCACTCACGTTCAAATATAAATTCTAAGACTTATTTCAAAACCAAATCTCATTGTGTTGGGATTCATTACCACTTGGCTTACAGAATACCATGGCTGTCCTCACTTAAAATGATAAAAACTGACAGTACAGAATATACCTCTTTTTACAGAGCAAAAGAAAATATGTTCTAGGACAAAATGTAAACTTCATATATTGAGAAAGCATTTTAACAGAGGAGGGATAAAAATATTACCTTACATTTGTGAATAACTGGAATTCAAATTTGGGCCTTCCGATTTCATGGCTGGTGTGCTTTCAGTACAACACAGGTGTCCTTAGCTTCCTTGATAATGATTTATCCAAAATCTTCCTATGAAAAAAAGTGATTTTAGAAAGTAACTGCAACAGTTCAGTCTTTTGTTTTTAAAGATAAACATGCGCTCTCATTTATTTCTACCACCTCTCCCAAACAATTCCTTATAGAATAAAATCTGAGGGGGTGCCGGAGGGGTTGTTGGTTAAGTATCCGACTCCTGATTTTGGCTCAGGTCATGATCTCAGGGTTGTGAGAGATCAAGCCCTGTATTGGGCTCCGTACTGGGCATGGAGCGTGCTTAAGATTCTCTCTCTCCCTGTGCCCCTTTCCCCACCTCTCTCTCTCCCCCCTGCTGTCTAAAAAAAAATAAAAATAAAATCAGAGGGGAAAAAACATATATTTTCTTATATTCTTTTTTTTTTTAAGATTTTATTTATTTTGACACAGAGGGAGTGAGCGAGAGAGGGAACACAAGCAGGGGGAGTGGGAGAGGGAGAAGCTGCTTCCCGCCAAGCAGGGAGCCCGATGTGGGGCCCAATCCTAGGACCCTGGGATCATGACCTGAGCCCAAGGCAGACGCTTAATGACTAAGCAACCCAGGCGCCCCTAAAACCGTGCATTTTCTAAGCAAACATTTTCCCTTAAGACTCCCCCCTAGCATCTGAGGAATTAGAAGATCACAGCCATATGCCTTCTTTCCCCACTGCTCAGCAGCAGTCAGTGACCAAGCAGCAAGATAACCAAAGCAAGAATAGGGTCTAGAGACTGCAAATAATATTACAGACGATTTTAATAGAACACTAGACCAGAAATTAAGTATAAACGGTTTCTAAATCAAATACGGTTTAAAAGTAATTAAAGACTTATAGCAAGAAGCTTACTTGTTAATTCATTAAAGTCAAGATCACACTTATTCAGATAATTTCAACCATCCAGCAGCTTCAATTGCAATTTTATTTCCTTTAATTAATCTCTCTCAAGATACATATAGACACAGCACAATCTTTATTTTATTGGGTTATAATATTACTTTAAAATTTTATAGGCCAGCATGGTGATTTTTGTACAATTGCCAAATTCTGAGTTTTGATAAAGGGTGTCAAACATGTAAATTCACCACCAATGAGTAAACAGTTGTTGCTATATTTAAAATTAAGCTTCCCTCAGTTTTTGGACAGTTTTGGATAGCCAGTGATTGCTTATATAAATAAGTAATGTGCTATATATACAGAAAATAAAATTTTAAATGCTTATCTTTGTGTCAAACTGTGTCTCTTTAAGCAAAAATAGACAATTCTCAATCAATGTATACCAACTCTGCATTAGACATTTTAAAGTTGACTAACACAAAGAAGGAATTCTAAAACAATCACCCAAAGCATAAAAAAAGTCACCCTGGTAGACCAGTTTCATTAAACTAACTGCATAAGAAGCTCTGTGTCTGAAAATGGAACAGAGAAATCTGACACACAAAACTCATGTTATCAGGAAAAATTAAAAAATAACTTAAAAAGTTGCTATCAACTATTTCATATGCATCTGTGGTTTTTGATTAGTTGAGTGTTGCCTTTCAATGATTGACTTCCCTCTCATTCAATGCCCCTGCTTAGGTTCAAAGTTGACAAAACTGATAGAGTACTTGGTTGGACAGCAGAGAATCTCCCACCAACGGCTAGGACAGGAGTCTAGGGAGAAGCCACAGCTGTGTTTTCTTGCAGTCATGATGTAACAGACTGTCTAGATCAGTGATTTCTGAGCTTGTCTGCACATTGGAGTCACCTGGGGACTCAAAACACTATTGATGCCTGTATTCCATTGCTAAAAAGTGTGATTTAATTGATCTAGGTGTGGCCTGGGCTTTGGAATTTTAAATAGATCTTTAGGTGATTCTAACATGTAGACAAACTTGGAAAGAAAAAATGGTCCATGTTCTTTTATATTCCTAGCTTATAAATTTTTGACTAATTAGGTTCATGTCTTTTTTAGCACCCTTCCTTTATCAGTCTTATGCCATTTGGGGAAACCTACCAAAGCACAACTTGTTCTGGAATACTGTCAAAAGGAGAATAAAAGGAAGAATAAGAGGATGAATAAGCTAAATTTCATAAAATGTTTCTTCATGACAATAATTACTAGTGTATGCATTTTTCCCCCCCAAATCCAAGCCCTAGAAACTTTGTTTGCCATCCTAAAACCATACTGAAGAATTACAGAATACTGCCTACAATAATCTGGAGTTTAAGTAATGATCTGGATTTGTATGACCTATCCTAGCTTTCCACTTTATCAGATGGAGCACGGGCAGCTGCTGGAACAAGGAAGAGGAATAAGGAATTGGGTCTTATACATGAATAAACCTGTGGAGATACTAAGTTCATTAATGTTCTTGTTGGCAGGAATCAGAATGGCTTAGAGGCAGCCAAGTTGAATTACAGGGTTGATTTACTTAAGAGATACATGTTATGCGGACATCAGCTTTTTTTTTTTTTTTTTTGCACCAGCCTCAAGGCAGGCTTGAGATGAGACAAAGTGCAGCCCTTCCTTTCACAGTAAGATTCAGTTGTATTTCCCCATGGCTTCTCTGCCTCCTGAGGGGGTATATGAGCTGTCTAGACGAGAGAAGAAAGAAAATAGTTTTAAAAGTTCAAAAGTGTCAGTTTATCACTAGCAAATAATGGGCATAACTAGATATCTTTACTTCTTAAAAAAAAAAAAAAGTACCCACAACACGAGTAGATTGAAACTGGAAAGCAAGTATCACAATGTCAGGGATTCAAAATAACAACATGTAACTTCATTCTGATACACAGGATTAACATGCTTTAGGTAGACTGATGTACTGAGCGGAATGTACTGCTCCTTTGAAATTAAAACAAATGACCAATGGGTGCTTGGGTGGCTCAGTCATTAAGCGTCTCCTTCGGCTCAGGTCATATTCCCAGGGTTCTGGGATTGAGCCCCAATGGGGCTCCCTGCTCAGTGGGAAGCCTGATTCTCCCTCTCCCACTCCCCCTGGTTGTGTTCCCTCTCTCACTGTCTCTCTCTCTGTCAAATAAATAAATAAAATCTTAAAAAAAAAAAAAGCAAAAAACCCCAAACAAACAAAAAAAACAAATGACCAATATGGTCAACTAATATTTGACAAGGAGCCAAGAATACTCAATAGAGAAGAAGACAGTCTTTTCAATAGATGGTGCTGGGATAATTGGATGTTCACATGTAAGAGAATGAAACTGGACCCATATCCTATACCACTCACAAAAATTAACTTAAAATGAATTAAAGACTTAAATGTGAGAACCGGAGCAGGGCAGAACTTCAAACTAGTTGAAACTCCTAGAAGAAAACATAGGAATAAAGCATCTTGACATTGGTTTTGGTAATGAATTTTTGGATATGACACCTAAAACACAAGCAACAAAATAAAAAATAAACGAATGGGACTACCTCAAATTAAAAAGCTTCTGCACAGGCAAAGAAACTATCAATAAAGTGAAGAGACAACCTATGGAATTGGAAAAAATATTTGCAAACCATCTATTTGATGATGGGTTAATACCCAAAATACACAAAAAAATTCATACAACTCAATGGTAAAAAACCCAATAACCCAATTAAAACATAGGCAAAGGACCTGAATAGACATTTATTCATTTGAGACAGAGAGAGAGAGCAAGCATGAGCAGGGGGGAAAGGCAGAGAGAGAGGGAGAAGCAGACTCCCCACAGAGCCAGGAGCTCAACGCGGGGCTCAATCCCAGGATCTAGAGATCATGACCTGAGCCTAAGGCAGAAACTTAACCATCTGAACCACCCCAGGACCCCCTTAATAGACATTTCACTATAGAACATATACCAAAGGCCAACAGGCACATGAAAAGATGCTCAACATAATAGCCATGAAAGAAATGCAAATTAAAACCACAATGAGATATCAACTCATGCCTGTGAGAATGGCCATCATCAGAAAATAGAGATAACAAAAGCTGGCGTTGTTGTGAAAAAAGAGGAACCTGTGTGCACTGCTGGTGGATTGTTAGTTGGTGTAGCCACTATGCAAAACAATATGGAGGATCCTCAAAAAATTGAAAATAGAACTACAATATCCATCAGTTTCACTTCTGAGAATACATCCAAAAAGAAAAAAACACTAACTCAAAAAGATGTTCACAGCAGCATTATTTACAATAGTCAAGACATGGAAACAACCTAAATGTCCACCAATGGATAGATGGATAAAGAAGTTGTGGTATATACATACAATGGAATATTATTAAACCATAAAAAAATGAGGAAATCCTACCATTTTTGCGACAACGCCGATGGACCTTGAATGCATTACACTAAGTGAAATAAGTCAGTCAGAGAAAGACAAATACTGTATGACCTCAACTTGTAGGTGGAATCTAAAAAAGAAAAAAAAAAAACCTTGGAAAAAGAGATCAGACTTGTGTTTACCAGATGCAGTGGGTGGGAAAGGGGTTAAGTGGAGGAAGGCGGTCAAAAGGTACAAACTTCCAGTTATAAGATAAATAAGTACTAGGGATGGAATGTGCAACATGATGACTGCAGCTAACACTGCTGTATGAAAAATATAAAAGTTGTTGAGAGTAAATCCTGTGAGTTGTCATCATAGGAGAAAATTTTTTAACTTTTTTCTTTCTTTTCTTTTTATTGTATTTACAGAACATGGATGTTAGCTGAACCTATTGTGGTAATCATTTCACAAAATATTTAAATCAAATCATCCTGCTGTAAGCCTTGAACATACACAGTGATGTATATCAGTCATTTCTCAATAAACTGGAAAAAAAAATAATCAGATCATGATGAGGATATGGGGCTGTCACCATCCAAACCCTTTCCACTTCAGGACACAATACAATCTGATGTCAGCTCAAAATTCTAATAATTGGGCAAAGCAAGATATTCCTAACCTAAATGGGAAGAGGGGCAAAGGCATCTAAGGAGAGGAGTGTGTTGTGAGTGAACTGCAGTCAGTAGACACAAATGGTGAAAAGCAGCTTATACAGCGCAATTTTAAAGGTTTCTTTG